GTTCTGATTAGCCCAAAGTGAGAACAGAATCTCCTTCCTATCCTAATAAATCATTACAAACTAGAGAGAACGGGTCTGGACTTGTGCAGGTGATTCCCTAGAAAGTGATTAAAAAAAAAAAATTGACCAGTTACTTCCTGTTTACAGGAAGGAAAGATCTTAAAGCCTAACACTCCACAGACAAACTACTGAAAACACAAGGGCACCAATCGCATCAGCTCCTTCACTTTTCCTTTCTATTCCACGCCATCGGCAGGGCGACGCATGGTAGCGAGGCTTCTGCTGCTACAGCTCGACTAGATTTGCTTCTTTGCTGGAATCCCAAACATTTTGTTTACGCGCGTTTGACAATCCATTTCAGTTTGTTTTTGCTTCTTCACAGCGGCACCACTGTTGGCATTAATCGGCATGTGATTTCATGGCTTATTTCTGTCTAGTTGGTTACTGGGTTCAAGCAGCAGTCACACTGCGAGACAGTCAGGCCTAGAATTTCACCACAAAAAAGAAATCGGGGTGTTAGTCAGCACATGAGCTGCCATATTTTACCTTTCGACCCCACTTTAGACTGTGTGAGAATACACAGACTGAGAATGATCGACGACTTCTTCTTCTCTCGCTGTTCTTGTATTATTGTTCCTTCTTAAACAAGTCATTTGGACACGACACAGAAGGGAAAACATGGGCGTGAACTATAAAAACTTTATTTGAACAGAGACATTGTAAATTATATAAATAACACTCAACAGCATAAAATGGCTGCTGTGAAGTCACGCCAACAGAATTCTGTGATGTTTTGGAGTCACCGGCAAAGCTACCCACCCACAGGTATAATTTAGCTGGTAAGTGAAAACAAGACCTTAAAATCTGGAGTGTCAAAAATATGGTCCAGGAGCCAGAATTGGGCCAGCAAACACTCCAATACAGCTCATTGGATGGCTTTGGAAAGGGAACTTCTGGAGTTTTAATTGACTTTATTTAGTTTTACAGCTTTACATATTAACAAAGACGTCCCCCGTGGCCACACTGTTGAAATAGCACTTCTTCTATTGTAAATAAATCTGAGCACCCAGAGGTAGCAGTGGCCTTTAGCATTGTTAAAATAAGCCCTCTGCTCCTCGTCTCTAAGAGGATGTTCAGATATTCAGTACCAGGTTTCCTTTATAATAAAAGATGTTGCGCAACAACAGAGCACCACACCTTAAGAACAGTGCACGATGATGATCGGAGGACTGTCCTGAAATGAATGAGAAAAGCTACACATTTACCAAAGCAACCTCAGAGCAGACCCACCAGCACGGCCGGCGGCCTTCACAGGTTATCTACATGTAAGGTCGCCCTTGAAAAGAGTTGTTGCTCTTTTGTCCATGTCTAAAAGAAGTCTCTGCGTGTCCCGGGCTGACTCCCGAGCATCCCTTCAGCGGTTTGCGTTGCCACGCTGGGAGCCTGTCAGAGCGGCTCAGTGTCAAACCTCCCAGCCCCGCTGAGTCAAGATGACCATAAACCGAAGGCTAGAGCAGCCACACTGGCCGGATGCTCGCATTTTTGTAAGGTGCCTGATGTTCCCTTTCCTGTTAGGTGTTAAAAGAAATGCTCCCTGTCGAGCCTGTTTGAGAAGTCATCAGGTAAAGTATAGGAAACAGACACATCTTAAGAAGGCCTAAATGAATTTAAAGTAGCACCTCTAAGCATTACTGCTCCTAGTGCTGGATGTAATTCTCCAGTAGGTTGGAATGTACGCAATATTTTGGACTTTCTTCACCATTTGTGCTTCCTCAACAGCTGGGAAAGTCAGAACACACAAAGGAAAGCTGAATAAACAACGTGTGTGAAGCCTGTGGGGTTTCCATGTCCCTGAACCAGACAGGTGGCATTCCCTGTTAGGGAGAAAACCAGGCCCGGCTACTTCAACTTAAAAAAAAGAAAAAGCCATTCACAAATCTGCCAATTAAATGTGACATTAAACGGTTCCGCAGCTATTAAATGTCACAACTTCCTCAAGTTTTAGTATTCATTGTAAAGTTCTATGGGTTTATTTCAACTGAAAATTAACCTCAATGAATCAAAAGTTTCCATTTAGATGAAGCTGTTTAAAAAAAGAAAGCAAGAAATCAAACTTGGCACAAAACCCGTTAAACGCACACCAATAAAAGCGCAGAAGTTTTGCAGCCTCACCTTTTGTCTTACCTTGCCTGACAGTTTTAAACCTGGCGGGTCCTTTGCAGTTCTTTAGCACGGTGTATATGTCGTACAGGGGTAATCCCGAAATCGAGAGATTCTCCACTTCGAGCAGCAGCTCCCCTTCACCCAGTTTCCCACTTTTGTACACCACCGCATTGTGGTTCAGCGGTCCAATGTAGGCGAACTCTCCATTCTCCGCGCCGCCACGCAGCGGCACGTTGAGCTCACCGCGGGCATCTTTGGACACGGAGACCTCGTTCACCCTGGAGGTCCAGTGGTTCTTCTTCAGCGCGGGTTTGGACATTGCGAACAGTTAACGAGCCGACGCCAAACCGGCCGGACTCTGCCACCGGGGTTGGGGGGGGGGACACAGTCACAGAAGTCCCTGTCTCTCTCCTGCTCGTTAAAAAGTAGATTTGTATCCGAGGGACGCGCAGAAAACTTTCTTTCTCTCCCACAGAAACATGAGCGCCTCTGACAGTACAGGTCCCGAATCAAGCCATTCCTGCCTGCGCTGAAATCACTCCTTGCTGTGCGGTTATTCTCATCACTTTTCTTAACATCCCCTCCGGTTTAATCCTCCTTTACTGTTGTCATCCTACATCTGCCACGCTCCCACTCACGGCTCGCGTCCACTTCTTAAATCCTCTTGGTTGTTTTCAAAACTCACTTTTAAAGGTTTTCCTTCCTCTCTTCCTGCTAAAAGAGACTTCACTCCTCCTCTGCCCGTATCCGCAGACCCCACTTTATCCACAGTCGTCCAGAACTCCTTTAACCAGGTACGTCGCTCTGGTGCGTGGAGCTGAAAATCATTCCCACTCTGGTGCTGGGGATGTGTTGCTGTCCGTGCTGCGTTCAGGTGCTGTCGGATTTTTATGCGTTCACGAAGAGGTCACGTGAATAACCTGTGCGAACTCTTCACTCGTCCACAAGCCACAGATACTACAGGTCATTTCCCAGTGTTTCAGCTTGGTTGTAGTTTGAAATTTACATTTAACTTATATGTAATTATGATGGAACTTATAAAAATATGGTACAGTGTGTGTAATGCTCTGTGGTAATAATGTTCGACACCTTTAAATCACGACTGTAACCTAACGTAGCGCCTAAATTGACACTTCACTGTGGACTCAAGTACGCGACTTAAATAATTTATCATCGGGCACAAACTGACGAAATGACCCTTCACGTGTTTTCTTTAAAGACCTCACTGCGTGATTTACAACATTAGTATTTACAGTATCAACATGGTCACGGTGAGTTGAAGTGCTGTCAAAATAACTTCGAGGACCGAATGTCAGACTCCAAAAAGGGCATTTGAACGCAGCGCTATAAAGAGCGCATGCGTGCTGCTGTAGGGAGAAAGAGGTTTTTGGCTTTCCCTAAATTAGAGCCTGGTGTCAGTTTGTTTATTTCAGTCGGTTCAAATTAAATTAAAGTGCGCTTCCTGGTAAAATTATAGAATGTGCAGTATCCATCGAGCTTTGATATAATGAATCTGACTGAAATGCTGATTTCCTAACATAGTGAGTCAGAGGTTAACCCTGTGATCACACATACGTCTGGAATTCTTGTATTTCAGGTTAGACAGGTGTCAAACCATGTTTTAATGTTTGGCTGAAACCTCCCCTCTCTGCTTATGCAATCTCTTTACGCCTGAGACGGTACTATTTACATACTTAGTTGTATCCCTAGCTACTGTTTTTGTTAAACACAAATACTTGTTGAACCACATCTAAGAATCTGAGAGATGCTTAAAAATAATAATGGAGATGGACATATATAGATAGACTGCCTAATGGAATCACATGTGCCGGGCTTCTCACCTTGGGAGCGGCAGATGAACTTTTTTTTTCCAACCTAAAAATAACAGTAAAGCACTCTTAGTCCCAGCAGATAAAAAAAAAGAGAGAGAAAACTAGTGGCCTGGATGGGACGGGGAAATAGTAAATGCACTTATATAGCTCAAACTGTAGCTTTCCCTCATCTTCATCCATTATTAGCTGCTCATACATGAAATGCACGATTAATATTTGTTCCGTTCAGTGCAGGTCCGTTTCCAGGGGAAATTCTCTTTGCAAGCAAGTGATGAACAACAAACATTAATATGGAAAAAGTACTTAAAACATGACACAGGGCCCAAGTGTCATAAATTATAAACACCTTCATTCATCCACAGTGCACCATTAAACTAAACAGCCCTAACATTGCATTGCTAACTATGCCATAAAAAATGCATTAACCAGAGGTAAGCTATTATGTAGTACAAGAAACAAAGTTTGTCCTTTTCCTGAGAGACACGGTTATACTTTTAGTGGTGCTGATGAACTTAGAATAGGAGAGGATAGAGGATAGCACTTCTTCTTTTCTCTTCCATTTGACCGTCTTCTTCAGTTTTTTTAAGAACACACTACGAAAACACTGGTTCAACCCTTTAGCCCAATGTTAAATGGCTTAACAAACAAACAAAAAAACGTTTCCCTGGAAAGGGTCAGGTACAATGACTGAACCGAACATGAGGGAAAAGCAGCTGATGTACAAAGAAACACTTTGGAAACATCCCTGACCTGCCACAGTAGGTTGGTTGGTATTGGTTGGCCCGTTGGCCTCCAGGAAAATGGAGTAGGGTTGGTTCATGGAAGTTCTATTCATGAAGTCAGGGTTAACTCTGAGATCATGTCTGCCTGAAGTCCAGTAAGAAGGAGGATGCTAAAGGGTTAAAATAAGTTTAAGTGGTGGTGACTGGGTTTATGTATGCACGTTTGTGTCTGCATGTGTATATGTGCCAGTAACTTCTAAGGTGACCTCCGTGGGGGTCAGCCAGCTCCTCTGCCAGCTTCCTGTCATACAGTGTCACCCAAATCAGATCGACAGAGGCAGATACAGTGCCACGGGCCCAAAGTTTCCTATTCCCTTTCCACACATCCATCACTCTGTATATGTCAACATCTTCTTCCTTAGCTTTTGCAGCCTCTCTCTATTTGACTGCCACGTTCTCTCTGCCTTTCACTCGCTCGCAAACACGAACAAGCCACAAACCATTGGTGACATCACAGCCATTGTTTCGGTATACCTACGCAGTCAGACAGCCATTCTCACGTTTGTCATTTTGCAACCGTGCATTATAAGTTCTACAACACGTCCAGTTTCACACATGTAACACAAAGCTGCTGATTATGTGCAGATTCTGTGGAGTTATTTATAAAAGTTATTACCTTGTCACTGAGAGCTCTCATTAAAACAGCACTTGCGTACGCTCGCACTCTGCCGTTGTGCCCCCTTGTTATGACAGCATTTAAAGAAGAAGACACAGATAAGAATGGTTTGCGTGTCATAAACTATTATTAGCCACCGTATTCATTCACTCTGCGTGATGAGCTTAGCGATACCGCTGACAAGTAACGGCAGCTCGCGCTTAATGGCCAACAGTAATAAAGCACCCTTCAAATTTGACAGCTGTGCTCAGATGACTTTGGGACCGCTCTGTGGCAGACCTCCACTATTAGTAGCTTTCATTGTGTGCACAGCGGCCGAGCCATCCATCACTTCTGATTTTAAGTTGTGTAATGTGACACATGCATCGTGGACACGGAGGCTGCCCCTGTTGTAATTCAGCAGAAGTTTCACTCCCAGATGATTGCATAATGTAGGCAGAAACAATGTAAGTCTTTGGATAGAACTTTGAAACAAAACCAGCAATAAAAGGTGACAGATTAGCAAGTAAAAGGAGGAAAGTTGCAATCATATCGCTGTTGTTTATATCTCTATTAACATTAACAAGCAGGAGAGAAAGAGAGAGAAAAATGCTTTAACTTAACAATGGCCGCCACAGCTGTAGAAACAGAGTGGAGTGTATAATCTGACGGGGCCCACCACGCGACCTTTCAACACATTCCTTCCTGTAAGCGACTTCTCTTCTCTGGTACATCTCGTACCTCAAAGCTTCCTTCGATTTGAAAATTTCCAACAGCTTTCCCTCTGACATTCAACATCTCAATCTTTAATGATTTTGCTATCTTTGCACACTTTGTGTATGTGAATGAACTCCATATAAATTTTTAACAGAACTCCACATTTCTTTTTAATCCTTAGGATCTCTAATGGGTTAGCATGATCTCAAAATCCTAAGTCTGTAAAGTTTTTTCGAACCCGTTTTCTGTTTTGAGGGATGAATTCATCTGTGCACCATCCTCTATGCCAGGGGTGGGGGAACTCCAGGCCTCAACGGTCGGTGTCCTGCAGGTTTTAGATGTGTCCTTGATCAAACACAGCTGATTTAAATGGCTAAATTACATCCTCAACATGTCTTGAAGTTCTCCAAAGGCCTGGTAATGAACTAATCATTTGATTCAGGTGTGTTGACCCTAGGGTAAGATCTAAAACCTGCGGGACACCGGCACTTGTGGCCTGGAGTTCCCCACCCGTGATACATGCCAAGAGGAGGAAAATGAGGTTCGGGGATGGAAACCTAGCAGCACATGCTTGTGTATATCTGAGCTGATTGCGTACTGATGTACAAGTTTGCACATCTGCATCATAATTCACGAAAACCGTGCAAACCTTCCCTGAGGTCTACATCACTGCATCATAGTCGAACCCACTGAGCAGCTCCCAGCATTGTACAACAAACGGGTTTTGTTCAGGTCACGTCAAAGCTGACCTGTGACCTTTCTGTGCTCATCACTTAACAAGCTCTGCAAATGAGGAGGATCATTTTTCTGCTTTAGATGTCACTTTAATCTGTTTTACCTCCGTGCTCTGATAATGCCTCATTCATCATAATAGCCACAAAGCATTGATGGCAAAGCGAGAGAGACGGAGAGCGAGGCAGGCCGAGAGGGAGTGAGTGAGAGAAAAAGAGCACAATCCTACTTTTAACTAAAGCAGAGCTGCAAAGCTCAGTGTTGCCCTGGAAGATTAAGGATGAATGGCTCAGCACAAAAAGGCCAACAGATTATCAACGGGGCTGCAGAGAGCTGTCATATCAAAGCTGGTGACAGGAGGGGAAGAGGCTGGGGAGTCAGTACAGAGACTAATGAGTTACTTGGAATAGTTACTGTAAGCTGTGCTGTGCTGGAGCTCTACTGTACTAAAACGCACTCTGAATTGAGGTCTTTTTTTACTAAGGGCCAGACAGGAGAGGAATGAGTAAATTGTCCACATTCAGCATATTAAGGAGCCTAAATAAACGTCAGCACATTCTCAAAGTTGGCTGTGATCCCAAGAAATAAAACACAGGCTGGATCTGGATACTGCGAATGTTTGGCTCAAGCGTCACTTTGATATAGGAATAGCCCAGGCTTCCAACCAGTGTTTTTAATACCTGCAGGAAACGTCTTTAAATTTCTTGTGTGCATAATTGTATTTGGATGCAGGAATGGTTGCATTTAAGCCCATCTGGGTTTCGAATATGCATCGCTCTAAAGGAGATAATTCAGTTGGAAGGTGTGTTTTGTTTTGTCGCTACGACAAATACACCTCGGCACGCTCAGGTCTACAAATGAGTTTTACTCTTGGACACCCTGAATATAAGAACCTCCAGCTACTGTTAACTTGCTAAACACTACTACTGCCTGCTTTGATGATGCCTTCAGATGTATGCCATATGGGTCATCATGTCAGCACTCTGTGTTGCCCTCCAAAGCTCGTCCTGTCAGTGGGAACCCAGAGAGGATCATCTCCTTTTTTGGACTGGCAGCTGAGCAGAGTTAAGTGTCTTTTTCTTTTTTTTATCTGTAATTTCAGGACCTTATGAAGGGGGACTGACTACATTTAAATAAAGAGACCAGGACATTGGTGCATTTACTTCAAATTAAGAAGTTCTGCTTGTTGCGCTGACATTTCTCATTTAGAAAAAG